TCTTTTGCAATGTAAATACCTTTTTACTGTCAGATGTATTACCCCAGAAAATTATTCCATACTTCATTAAAGAGTGAAAGTAAGCAAAATAGATTGATTTGAGAGTGCTGATGTTACTGATATGTAACATGAATCTGACTGCATAACATGCTCTACTTAGCTTTGGAATCTGCTGATTGATATGGTTTTATCAATTTGCAAGCCAAGGAATTTTGTGTTTACTCCCTGTTCTACATATTTATCATTATATCCTGTGTTTAATGGATATTGTGGTGAGTTTTTTGTTATAAATTTTATTACATTTGTTTTTTCTAGGTTCAGGGACAGCTTGTTTGCAGAAAACCATTTACTCATTTGCGAGGCCACGCCATAGCTCAAGCAGTTAGTCGCTGGCTTTCCACCGCGGCGGCCCGGGTTCGATCCCGGGTCTGGTCAAGTGGGATTTGTGGTGGACAAAGTGGCGCTGGGGCAGGTTTTCTCCGAGTACTTCTGTTTCCCCTGCCAATCTTCATTTCACCAATTACTCCACAATCACCCTTACCTATTGTCTGGGGCTGGTACAATAGGCCAGAAGTGGCCGCAGTACAAGGGACTTAGTCCCACCCCACTAGCAATAAAAAAAACTCATTTGTGAAAGAACCTTGCTTGATAACATGCAGAAATCATCTAAATTTTTACCAGAAATTATAACACTAGTGTCATCTGCAAATATTATAGGTACTGATGGGGTCCTTAGTGTAGGAGGGAGGTCGTTTATATAAATTATGAAAAGCAAAGACCCAAAAATTGACCCATGTGGAACTCCATGTTTTATTATTCCCCAATTTGAGTAGGTACTTTGGATTGAATTTGATGATTTTATTTCAGTCTTTTGTTTTTAATCTGTTAAGTATGGTCTGAACCAACTTAACGTTGTTCCTTGAATGCACAAAAAATGTTATTTAGTTGATAAAATTTCATGATTTACACAGTCAAAAGCCTTTGCCAAGTCACAGAATATTCCACCAACATGCGTTTTTTGTTTAATAGATTTAAATACACTGTCTGTTAACTTAAAGGCTGCATTTTCAATAGAAATTCCTTTCCTAAAGCCAGACTGTTCTGGGACTAGTATATTGTTACTCTGAAAATAATGGCTTAACCTATTGTGCATAACTTTTTCAAGTACTTTAGCCTTGGTCTTCCCAGTGGTCTCTTTCCTTCTGGCTTTCCCACCAATATCCTATACACCTTCCTCGTCTCCCCTATTCATGCTACATGACTTGCCCACCTCATCCTCCTTGACTTGATCATTCTAATTATACTTGGAGAACAGTACAAGTTATGAAGCTCCTCATTATGCAGTTTTCTCCAACCTCACATCACTTCGTCTCTCTTTGTTCCAAATATTCTCCTCAACACCCTGTTCTCAGACACCCTCAGTCTATGTTCCTCCCTTAATGTCAGAGACCAAGTTTCACACCCATACACAACCACAGGCAAAATTATGTTTTTGGACAGGTTCCCACGTTTCATTTTCTAATAGATGTTGAAATTGAGCAATGGTTTCACTATTTATTTTTCTGGTTCTCTGTTTCAAGGGTGTTGAATTTACTTCCGTAATAATATTAATTATTGTAAAAAATTGTGCTTTTACTGGAGTGATTCTGGCAAAAACACTGAAGGCTGTGCAATATTTGTGCAAGTGCTTGCTAGAAGAGAACTACAAACACCCAATTAGTTATATTAACACCAGAATGCGCTTTCAAGCACCTGTGGCTGTAATATGTTAAACTGCCAACTAAGTTTAAGGTCTAAGACAATATTTTAAAATGAAGTTGTGGCAGCGCTTCTTAAATCCAATTGATTTCCTGGTCAGAGAGTTTATTTTAGTCTCATTTGCTAATTTGAATACTAATATTAAAAGTGAACCTAAATACAGGACCGTATTTTGATGTATATTCATTTGGGTGAGAAAGTTGGTCTGTCTTTAAGGGAAAAGCATAGATGAAGGGCTTGAAGGGAAATATTTGAACAAAATATTACATAATGAACTTCATAATTTGCAATCTTTCACTCATTCATGGAGCTGAGCCCTTCTTGAGGAGCCGCCAATTCTGCATCTACTCAGGAATCTCCCAGCATTTTATGGAACCAAAAGGTTCATTAAAGTGTTCACAAGAGCCCTCCACTGGTCCCTATCCTGATCCAGATCAATCCAACCCATACCATCCCATCCTATGTCTGTAAGATCCATTTTAATGTTGTCCACCCACCTATGCCTTGGTCTTCCCAGTGGTCTCTTTCCCACCAATATCCTATATGCCTTCCTCTTCTTACCCCCATTTGTGTTAATTTGTAGTCTTTGGAAAATATTGTCGCGTATTGGGCGTATAACGCGACAAATAACTTCACGCCGTATTTTATATAGCGAATCTTATTTCACATTCGCACTTACAATCACCCAAATTACAGATTTACGATTACTGCTATCTGCAGTATCACAAATAGTACACTCCAAATGCCACAAGACAACTGACTAGTTGCTGGCTAACTCGGAACTAACTCGGAGGTAGCTCGAGGACTCACTCGGCGGTAGCTCCAGGACTGGCTGTGAATAGCCTTCGCTGCTCCTTATGTAGTCTCGGTCGGACAGTTGTCGTCTGGTGCCGTGTTGCTAGCCACGCTGTCCGGAGTTGTTGACTGCTGCCTAGCAACCGCGATATCCCTCGGTGACGTCACCACTGTTGACTCACTTTGCATAGCTTCAAGGTTGCGGGGACTCGGCTAACGTCGGCTCCGCTCGGCTCACTTCGGCTCCGCTCGTGACGTCACCGCGCGTTGCGCGTTGCATAGCTACCAGGATGCGGGGTGATTACTCGCCTATTACGCGAGCGCTACGTTACCGCTACGTGCAGCTGGGGAGGTAGGGGTCAACATGTCACAATATTATTAGGATGATGAAGTGGGAGGAAGGGTTGAGATGGAAAAGATATATAGCATACATGAATAAAAATGTGTACTTGGAAAACCTAGAGAAGCCTAGGGCCTAGGCTCAGGTATGAGGATAATATTAAAAAGGATATGTAGATGTGGAGTGGACTAACCTGACTAATTAATCTGATGATAATATTCGGACTTACATGAACCGATGTCACAGACGAGCAGATAGAATTATATTTTGAGTAGATTCATAACTTCTTTCCATGGTGATAAATTTGAAACCACAAAGTGATCATTATGTACAGCATGCATCGAGAAAATGAGAGGTGTATGTAAAGTTTCTGTTGGAAAGCACTGGGTAAGGAGACCACTTTGCAGACTGATAAAATTAGGTGATAATATTAAAATATTTGGGAAATTCAGGGTGAAAATGTGGGCTTTGAACTGATGTGGGTACGATTCAATTGGAAAGACGGTAATAAATATTCAGTTCCATAATAGAATGGAATAAGTCGATTAGCTGTTTGACCCTGTCATCATTTTAAGTAATATTCTGCACTATAAAATTACAAACTTTCTTCAAAATACATTAGCAGAATTTTTGTTATAATTCGACTTGTCACACAGCATGCCATGAACAGACACACGATACCAAGAATCTCCTTCTCAAGAGAGACAGGCACCACGAGTTCAGCCCCCGTCAAGAAAGACAATAGGAGAAGGGGCACGAACCTACTTGGTTTATAAATTTTAACTTAAATAACAAAGTTTTAAACACTTTAATATACCAAGAAAGCTGCTGTAGTTGTGGAAAAGTTGGATTTTGTATATATTGTGCATTACAAACATTATATGTATAAGTATTTTAACACTCAAAACACCCACTGTGATAGTAGTTTCCAAAGAGTATCGATGTTCCCTCTGATGATGGTCTATAGGGCCCGAAACATGTACGGGTGCTAAGTTTCCAAGTAGTAAAAACTTAAACAGTCACACTGGGCTAAGTTGTTTTGTCTTTGTACTTGTCAGGCCGTTTATATTTCGTTTGAAACATTGATGTCCAAATTGGTTTTTAACTCCATATAAGTTACCTTGAACAGTTTCCTCTTTCAAGTGAAGCCCCACTGAGTTCCTAGCTGATATGAGTACTAGCATTGACGTTTTCCTTGTTTATATCTCGTATAAGTGCCTCAGAATCTGCTAACATTTGACGTTGTATGGCAAATAATTTATTACGACTGACATATTTTACATTAAGGTCGATAAAACGTGAAAGGAAGTACATTAAGTTATTTAAAAATATTTCCACGCATGGCCCTGTTTACATACAAAATAGCTGGTAGCAGGCACACGCAGGGCCCAGCAAATTTTGGATTACATCACCAGAAAGACAAAAATTCCACTCGCCACACATTTCTTCACAAGACAGACAACACCTACCCACACCACTGCAATTGCCACATGCCAACGTACATAGCGTCACATAACGGCATAGGATTCCGCGTCTTATGTATTATGTACGTAAGATATGATTTACTTTTCAACATTTGTGAAGAAAAAAAGATAAAAGGATAGAAGATTAACCCAACACATGTCCCCCTCCTTGATTTTACCACCTAATAATATTTTATAAAGAATACAAAATGTTAAACTTTTCGGAAGGGGTACGACCTTCAGATGGAATTATATTTTAAGATATTAATGTAAGGGTGTTAAGTTTTTATGTAGTAAAAAACTTACAGGTCACATTGGACGGAGTGATTTATAATTTGTATTAATTTTGGATTTATTATTTTTAATAATATAGATTTTAATTATTTTTGCTTACAACCATCAGAACTAAATAACGTGTTCCATTAAAAAAAATGTGTTCATGTTTTTTTATCATTTGAAAAATAGGGGGAGGCTCACCTTGTATTTGATCTATTGTGGGATCTTCATTCTTGTCATTATTTTGACTGAACTTCCTTTTTAATTTCGGTGGTATTTTTAGGTTCATTTCAGTATTGTTTTCATGTGCTGATAATGTACAGCACGAAACAGATAAGGGGAAGGACGCGCCTGAAGTCTGTACCCAGTGAACGCGCACTTCCACATAATTATGGTCCGATATTCAGACAGAAGCGCCGTTGTTTTATTCCTGTCACACTTGTCAAACCCGAATATAATTTATTACAAATTGTGATATAAAACTGCCAGAGACGTACACTTCGTGGAGTAGAGGAAACTTGAAGTGCGACTGTGTTCTATCTCAGGTAGGTACTGGCATCCAGCCTGACTGTTACTGAGTATCATTGTGAACAAAGTGAAAACGTATAGTTTTTTTTATTGCTAGTGGGATGGGACTAAGTCCCTTGTACTGCGGCCACTTCTGGCCTATTGTACCAGCCCCAGATGATAGGTGAGGGTGATTGTGGAGCAAGTGGTGGAATGAAGATTGGCAGGGGAAACCGAAGTACTCGGAGAAAACCTTACCCAGCGCCACTTTGTCCACCATAAATCCCACTTGAACAGACCCGGGATCGAACCTGGACCGCCGCTGTGGGAAGCCAGCGACTAACCGCTTGAGCTATGGCGCGGTCAAAATATCACTGTTAATTCAGTTCAGTTCGTGTTTATTTACATGCAAATTTAACAGCACAGAGGCCAATTACAAAGTTAGCACGAGTACATAGAAATACACAAAAATAATTAAAGAACAAAATACATAATATGACAGTCTATATAATGGCAATAAATTAATAACAATTCCAAGAAAAATTAAAGTTAGCATTAACAGGCGAGCAAAATAAAATAAGTACATTGCAATTGTTATATCATTTGTGAGGAGAAAGGACGATACACGTACATACACACACACACAGAAGTTAATAATAACAACAATAATTCTTACTTATTTGTGTGCTAACACAACATCCAAATAATAATTAGTAATTATAATAATAATTAATAGTAAATTGCTTTTGCCCAAAAGTCATTTAACTGCTCAGTAAAATATAAACTAAGGGGCCGTGCCATAGCTCAAGCGGTTAGTCGCTGGCTACCCACGGCGGTGGTCCGGGTTCGATCCCGGGTCCTATCAAGTAAGATTTGTGGTGGACAAAGTGGCGCTGGGGCGGGTTTTCTCCGAGTACTTCGGTTTCCCCTGCCAATCTTCATTCCACCACTTGCTCCACAATTATAATCAACCGGGACAGGTACAATAGGCCAATCAGTTGCCGCCGTGCCGAGTGGACCCAGTTGTACTCCACCTCCCAATAAGCGAATTTAAAATATATATAAACTAATTTACGTTAGAAATGACTTTTACCACTTAGTGAATTTACAGGAATTGTTCAAAATAAGGCCCTTCGTATTCAGTACATAATTCACAACGCTGTTGACACCGTTCTATAAATCAAGTTACGGATTTCAATTTCAATATTCCTGTTAATACGAGAGAATATTCTAGATTAAATAACTGTGTACTCCTATAATAAAAATATGTTGTTTCTGTGTCGATTCCTCCTCTCTGTTTCCCATCGCGTCATCACGATGAACATCTGAGTATACAAAGTTTACTCCCTGATACTAACTGATACTGCGCACAATCGTTGCTATATGATTCACCTGCTGTAACATTAAGAAACTGCACTGTNCTTCAAACTATAATGTTTGTCTAAACAATACAATACAAATACAAATATAGATCACTCCGTCCAATGTGACCTGTAAGTTTTTTACTACATGAAAACTTAACACCCTTACATGTTTCGGTCTCTGTGGACCTCTGTTTGCCCTCTGAAGATGGTCCACAGAGACCGAAACATGTAAGGGTGTTAAGTTTTCATGTAGTAAAAAACTTACAGGTCACATTGGACGGAGTGATCTATATTTGTATTTGTATTGTATTGTTTAGACAAACATTATAGTTTGAAGGGTTAAGACAATGAGGAAGTGTTGTGACATATATTCTGGCTGTGGTTCAAATTATTTTAATTACCTGTTATAATTTCCATGATATTTTCTCTTTAAAAATGTAAGCACTGAGTCATATGTTGTAATATTTGCAGAGGAAACAGAAACGTGTCCCGGAGGAAGGACAGATATTTCTGAGCGTGTACATTTATAATTGGGAGACAAATATAGTCGTTGTCTTCAGCGTATATTCGTTCGGTTGGGTAAATTGCTGCTTGTCTTCGCCAGCACAGTCATTTTAGTTCCGAGTCCCACATGACTCATGATCACACGACTCTGGGAGTATTCGGAACCCCTCCTTACTACAGAGAGAATTGCACCAGTGTATAGTACACCAAATAATAATTCAGTAAAAGGCTGGGAATTTGGTAAATACCTAAGCAACTATTACATTCTTAAGAACAACTTTGCTTACAGAATAAGTCAATTTGTGAAAGAATCTTAATTACTTGAGAGTTCATTAGAGTTCAAACTTAATGTACGACTGAAATTCAGGTGACGCATCACAGTCTTTAACGTTATGTGTAGCTTATCTACAAATACATATCATCAAAGGCTGCGTTCTCGGAGAAACAACAGATGGAGGATCATCAGTTCGACGCGTCTCTCTGCTTCCGTCAGTACAACGTGGCGACTGACAACGGTTTGTCCTCCATCTTCTAGAATCGCAGTTCTGGTATCGTATAGTATTAACCTCTTGAAGTCAAAGTCACATTGTGACTGACGGTCAGTCAGTCAGTAAGTCTTGGTGTCGAGCCCCATCTGGAGCTCATGACTAGACATTTATTAATGTTTGACAGTTACGGTCTTGTTTCTGTGGGGCGTCCTCTCTAACGAGAGGATGGGTTTGTCTTTTGTATATGCTGATGACCCTTGCCAGCGCAATCTTTCTCGGGTCTGAGTCCCTTGGGACTGGTGACCATATTTTACTGACTCAGATTTGAGACTTCCCTTTTTGTTGACTCCTACGACTTGCAGGGTCACGGTGGAGGTATTCGACTCCGCCTCCGCATGGGCTAACCTCTAAAATTTCTTACAAATGTCACAATATATAAGAATTCGGTTCGTACCTCACAGGAAACACACTCCGTCTCCATAACAACGACCAACCGGTTAGTGGTGTTTAGGGAAATAATCGCTGTTTATTGTGAGAACCATACGGAACACATAAATACACTGTGTGGGCAGAATGCAGAGTTTTAGTGTGTTAAAGCACGTAGTACACATGGAACCAGTAGGCCTTGAAGGGCTCATTTGGATTTGAAGAGATATCATAGTGGCCTCCTTGCTTATGCCTTCACTCATACAGTCAATGAAGATAAGAAGTAAAGCGATCCCTGTAGCAGGCCATGGAGGCCCATAGGGTTGTCAGACGTCGAGGCTCCCACATTTTCTAGACAATCGACTCACAGATGGTGGTAAGGTTGTTAGACTTACGCGCCTGCCGCCCTATAACCTCCAGGAAAATTCTTGGAACTCATTTCTATTAGAGGCTGAGTCGACCCCAGGGCCACAGTGCGGCTGGAAGGATTAGGCCAATTGAAAAAAATCCACTTCATCAGGACTGGAACCTTCCGGCTTGTAGCATAGTGCCTCAACCAACTACGCTACCACGTGCCCCTGATAGAGACATGTAGGTCTATATGAATTCTTCAAACACGCAGTCACCATCTCATTTCGTTGTATTTAAAACAGATTGTTTTTCGTCTATGATTGTGCTATTAAGAGACAGAATGAAAGTTTAGTGCAATGTACAAAAACATATTTTTTGCTCACAAAGAATTTCACAATAATTTTTTTCAAGTTTAAAAGACAAGAATTAGATGAAGATTGCTATCTTCTCTCAGATTTGGCGTCGTGTAGACTGGTAGTTACCGATGCTTCAGAGTACGAAATTGCCTCCGTCTTCAGGGTCGAAATATAAGCCAAGCAAACAGCAAGTCTCAGGTACACAACTTCTTCGTGTTGATTGCTTCCTTGACTTACTCTTTGGCCTTGAATATGGAGGCAGTTCGTTACCCCTAAACGTCTGTAAATTCCTATCAGAGGTCACAGCATCGCATCCAAAGAGAGTATTCTTCATAGCCTCAAACCCAGTACTCAGTCATCGGTTGCTTAAGAACTTCTTTCGTAATACTGACAGACTTCGTCTTGAAAGTGTGAAAGACGGCAAATTAATCCTTATCTTCCCTACAAGGGCGTTGACTCAGTCTGTTAATAACATTCTTAGTAAATAATGAAAATAGACTGCGACATAATGGAGATGAAACTGATCGTTACTGAACAATCTTAAGTTGTTCTGTTGAAACGTCTCTTCCACGAATTCTGTTATCAACGCTTTGGTAACCATAAGCTCGAACAAGTTATTGCGTGTTAGTTGAAACATCAATACAAAATATAATTCTGCCTGTTGTTTTGTATGGATGTGAAGCTCGGTCTCTTACCTCCTGACTGAGAGCGTTTCGATATAAGCTCCTGGAAATTTGGATCCAACACGGGGTAAGTAACGGAATAAAAAATATATAATGATGGTTCCAATATTCTGTCTGTATAATCCAACGGATTCCTTACTCTACACATTTCGACAGAGAAGACGGAAGCACATTTTCCTCCGAAACGCTATGTAATTACAAGACTACACAGGTTCCACAACTCAGAAGGCTACATTCTGAGCAATCATGGCCTTAAAAACTAAAAACAAAATTTGTAATTTATTTAGCTTGTTTTTATTCCAAGTAATTTAACTCGCGTCAATTTTAGATGAGGTCAGTAAAGTAAAATTTAAAATTTCTGTTAATTTCGTAGCAATTCTTTTTTATGTATATTGTGACATGTAGATCCATTGCCAAGTAAGAGCTGTGTAAACAGATGACAATACAAAACAACCGTTGCTAGGGAACAACTCTGTGGACACGTTGTTTCTCTGGCAACGAGAGAACACGCAATAATTGAAGAGGTGTTTTCTGTGCTGTCCGTGTCGGGTTTGTACAACGAGGACTAGTAGTTCAGTTATGTCAATACGCAACTCTCAGACAAGGGAAAAAAGATCTTATATGTGCTGTAGTGATCTTTGGAGTGTGTAACTCAGTGAGACTGTCGTAGCTATTTGTAGTTACGTTCTGTAAGCGTTCAGTAAATCCGATTACCGGTCCAAACCCCGTCTATAGTCACCATCACGTGACAATATGTTAAGGAGTGAGTAAGGAACCGACTGCAACGGCTCAGTCGTGCTAGATGGAGGCAAGAATGTAATAAAGAAGGATTTTGGTAAGTGAGTTGAGTGATGTTTGACAGTCTGTAAGGATGGACGCTCTCCGGCTGGTGACATATGGGGCAATTCTGTTAGTGGACGCTGTCTGGACCCTCGATTGCGTCTATTATCAGGAAGTGGCGGCGGGACAGAGCTTTAATGTCTACTCACCGAACTACCCCAATAACTACCCTTCTGGTATCAGCTGTACCTGGGAAGCAGTTGCACCCTCCAATTCGCACTTCATCCTCCAGTGCGATGAATTCTCCACACCTGCGGTGAGTGCAATGCTTGGAAATGCTATAACCTCGATACTCAAATACAACGCGCTAGCATTTTATGAGAATTTAAAATAGTGCTCTATAAAAATATTAATAAAATCTCATATTTTGAGCAACGTTTTAAATAATATGTATTCCCCCCCCCTCCAAAAGAACATCGGTAATTCATTTATTTCTATGAGAAAATTTGTCTTGAATTATGCGAGTTTTGAATCATGTGAGATAGCGTTCCTCGCATATAATGCAACTGCACTTAACACTCTCCTTTCAAGAGTTTCCTGAGATGTTTAAATGTCTTTAAACCCTTGTACGAGCTGATCCCCCGTCCAAGGAGTCCTATCGACTGTGTATAGGATTAGAAATTTGAAAAGGCAACCAGGGCCCAATAAACAGCTGTAGAGGCAAAATAATAAATTTAAAAGCTCTTACAATTTCACGAACTGACAAAATGAAATCATGAAAATGACACAAACTGAAACTGCTTTTTGAAGGAGGATTAATGGGCAGGCCATAAATCACCCATGGAGGAGAAGAGGAATGCATATAGGGATTTGATGCGAAAGCCAGAAGGAAAATCATTAGGAAAACATACACGTAAGTGGGAGGATAATATTAAAACGGATTTTAGAGAAATACTAATACGGGGTGGGACGGTTTGGTTTGATCTGGCTCAGGATAGGGACCAGTGGCGACATCTTTTGAACACGGTAGTGAACCTTCGGGTAACGTAAAATGCTGGGAAATTTTTTGAATAGTTGAGCGACTGGTGGCTTCTCAAAATGGAAACAGGTCCGTGGAGTCAGTTACTGCTTTTTAATATTAGTTTCAGAAGGTGTTGTATAATCCCGAAACAACGAAAAAGAAAATGTATATAAAATATTCATCATAAAAGTTGTGAGATTTGAGTTTCTTGCGACTGTAAATATTCATGGGTTGACAGAGTAACACACTGTGCACACTGTAACATGTGCGAATACATGAGCTAAAATCGGCCTTGTCAATATTAAACTGAAAACCAATGTTTCGGAGGTCTCCTCTGTTTCCATCATCAGAGACGATGTTATGAATGACCGCATGTCTGTGATATTTATACCAGTTTATGAAACTGAATCCTCTTCTATCTGGTGCATTATGCAGTAGGAAAGGAGGAGTTAAACTGTACGGTCACCCATCCGGCTCTAACCTCACAACCGTGTTGCTTAACCTGGTGTCTCTCTAAGCGGCCTCCTTTGTCTAGAGGTAACGTTCCCACCTCATGACTCGTCGTACGCGGGTTCAAACCCGGCGGAGGTCGTGGAATTTTTAAGGGCGGAAAAATTCAGGGAACAAGTCCTCCGGAAGGGACTTTAAGCCGTGGGTCCCGTGTCGTAGCTTTATGGTATGTAAAATAACCTCATATCTCCAAAGGAGGTCACTGAGCCAAATTCAAGGACATTTCCCGCCCAACAGTAGTCTCTAACACCTCTGATAGATGGGGGAAGCATTATAGATACCGCCAAGCCAGTAGAGGCGGAACTCGCTGGCTCGGTCGGGACTGATGGCACACACCAATATCGGTAGGGTATAGAGACTGGTAGAATATCATAGAGGGAAGCACAATGGACCGATACTGATGTAAGTGCATGGGGAAACCCACCCTCTTCAATAACTAACTAACTAACCTGGTGTCTCTGTTGTCAGATTATTTTCTTTCCTTTTCTACATGTCATCTTGGGTTTTCTTGGGGTTTTTTTGGTGATATATATGTGTGTGTTGTATTTTAGTGTGGTTCTGGGATTCCATGCTTTGCTGAGTTGGTCACCGGATGGGGTTACATGGACTGACCTGTCGGAGAACCTACGAAAGTAAAATTATCTACAGACAGTATAAACAGAGAGGAAGGCTTAGCGCATGCGCCAACTTGCTGTATGTGTGTTGTGTTACTGTTTATTTGAATGTTAACCAGGAAGTCTCCTCTGTTAAATTAAACCAAGGCTCCGTGGCCCGGAGGAACCAGTGATATGCAAGAATGTTGTTTTCTGTTGCGCAACAGAGCCAGAACTGCGTAGAAGACCGATTCAGCGTCTCTCCGTCTGGGGACAAGAAGCTAGCTGACGCGCATGCGTACTGCGGCTCAGGTACATTTACCATCGAATCAGACAGCAATCGCATTGCGATGCAGCTGGATGCTCCGTACTTCAGCAAAGGGGGAAAATTTATGTGTAAGTTGACTGCGACTGTGCCGTCGACCCCCAAGCCAACATGTGACTGTGGTTGGAAGAAACAGGTACAGAAATTTAGTATCACTAGATTTTTAAAGATAATGTAAAAATAACCCAAAGAAATAAATCGAACACTTAAAAAAAAAACTGAAATTGCGAGATGCTCACTGAACCAGTCATGGGAGAACTGACCGAGCGACTGCGCGTCCGCCCAAGCAAATTGAGAACGCAACCACATGACCACCACTTGATTTGTTATTCGAGTTTCAAAATCGGATTTCCCTCGAATTTTTTGTTCGAGTTTCAAGTTGTTCGAACGTCAAACCATTCGAAGTTCGAGGGTCCACTGTACTTTCTGAGTTGCGGCTTCTGTATCTTTGGGAATTTGTTTATGGGAATTTGAATTTGTTTACTTGTGGCTTCTGATATATGAGAAAAATTCTACACCCCTCCCCCTTAATATTTGTTAGTGTGGAAAAAATTGTGTATGTCCCCATAAGTACACGTACGTATTTGTTTACTTGTGAGAAATATCCTTCTAACCCCTAGAGATGCGGCAACTTCTCCGACTCTAGTGTGAGGAAAGAAGCCGCTATAGTGGGCTGCAGGCAGAAGGTATCGAGCGTGAATCTGCCCTCAGATCACAGCGCCGGTACCATCTAATCTTATATAAGATTCTACTGTTATGTTAAACAATTTCAATAATACTAATTGGTATCTCTGTAGTGTAATGTGTCTTCAATAATTATAGGATAATCTATTATGTTTCTGGTGCTTACTTGCTTCGTTTCAGGCAATAAAATTGTTGATTTATTGGTATCTGATGGAATTGAATGGTCAGATTCACGCTCCGTCCGATGTATCCTCTGGAGAAGAAGCCGCTGTATCCACTGAACAGGAGGCTGGGTGGGCTTCACAACCAATCTGGACTCTCTGTGAAGAGAATTACTTCGCTCCCACCGGGACTCAAACCCCAACTCCCCGATTGCCCAGTCCACAGCGTAGTCAATTTACTGACTGAACTATCTCTAATCACATAAAATACTACTACTACTACTACTACTACTACTACTACTACTAATACTAATACTAATACTACTACCACCACCACCACCAATAATAATAATAATAATAATAATTTGAACTTCATAACTTGTACTCTTCTCCAAGTATAATTAGAATGATCAAGTCAAGGAGGATAAGATGGACAGGGCATGCAGCTTAATCGAGGAGATATAGAATATTTCTGGGAAAGCCAGAAGGAAAGAGACCATTAGGAAGACCAAGACGTAGGTGGGTGGACAATATTAAAATGGATCTTAGAGAGATAGGATAGGATGGTATGAATTGGATTTACCTGGCTCAGGATAGGGACATGTGGAGGGCTCTTGTGAACACTGTAATGAACTTTCTGTCCAGTGATTGAGGCTAGCTCTTTCTAACGGACCCAACTGAATAGGTGTTTTCCTTCACCTGAGGACGGAAACAGATCCAGTTTCCGAAACGTCGTGTTTTTATTTGTTATCTTAAAAACCAGGACGATGGATAAAGTCCAAAAACCCAATATATCAATGAACTTTCTGGTTCCGTAAAATATTGGGGAGTTCTTCAATAGCTGCAGAATTGGCGGGTCCTCAAGAAGGGCTCAGCTCCATAAGTGTGTAATAATAATTTAATCATGATTTATTCACCTGCCGACTTAAGAGCCCAAATGTCAATCAGAAAATGAACACGAGTGAAGAAAAAAAACGATATATAAAAACAAGGAACTTTGTATCGAATGAATAATAATAATAGTAATAATAATAATTTTATTAACACAAATCGAAGTATTACTGAGATGTGACAAAAATAGGAAATAGTAATAAGTAGAAGAATTGCTCCTGTTTCCGCAGTCTCGAATTGTGAACGGCCGCGAGACCGGTGTGAACGAATATCCTATGATGGCTGGCCTGGTGGACCTTCAGATAAGGGATGTAATCTGCGGTGCTACAGTGATCTCGAGCCGCTACTGTCTCACCGCGGCCCACTGTTTGCTGAACCGCCAAACTGCGTACACAGCCATCCTAGTCGGGGACCACGACATTTCCACCGGTACGTTGATGCCATGAAGCAGCTACTCCTTGCCGCAGAAACATGAATACGGAGCCGTTGTCTAGTAATAGACGTCTTCTCCGGCTCCACCATTCCGGCTTTAAGCCGTCATGTCACAGTTACGCTGAAAGGTAGTATTATTTATTATTATTGGAGGGGGTGGGTTTCCCCATGCACCGCGACTAATAGTCTATTGTACGTCCCCCTTTGATATTCTACCAGTCGCCATACCCTGCCGGTACTGGTGCTCGCTATCAGCCCCGTTCAGCCAACGAGGTCGGCCCTCGGTACCTCGATACTCCCCCCATCTACCAGAGGCATTGGAAACTACTTGGGCGGGAAACTTGCCTAATTTTGCTCAGAGGTCTCTTAGACACATGAGGATCTTTTACGTGCCGTAAATCTACGACACGCTACCCACGGCTTAAAGTCCCCCCCCCCGGAGGGCTTGTTCCCTGAATTTTTGCGGCCTTAAAGATTCCACGAGGTGGGAACGTTACCCCTGGACTACGGAGGCCGCTTTACGCTGAAAGGTAACTCGAGTTTGCAAGTGGTGACGTAAACGTCCTACTTTAGCCTCAGATCTTGGCCTTGTTGTAGGTGTACGAGTGACCGCGACGAGGTTGTGAATATGTCAACGAGATTCGAGTCTTTGAATAGGTTCCAGTGTGATCTTGTACACATACTGTGATGAACATCGAAGTTTTCATTGCAATTTCCCAACCAGCTGAGGAGGCCGAACCATTAATTTTATCAGGAAGAAATTTCAGCAAGACCGCCTCTGTGATCTAATGGTCAGAGTTCCTGGCTACAGATCCATAAGTCCCGAGTTCGATTCCCTGCGCTACCAGATTCTGTGAGAAGTAGTGGATCTGTAACGGGGTCCATACAGCCTCATGAGGATAATTGAGGAGCTAATTCAAGGAAAACCGAGATTAACGGTCGTGGGGATCCGTTGCGCTGACCACGCGACACCCTCTATCCGCAGAAGTTGGCACTAACTTCGCCGACAAGCGGCGGTCGCTCGGTCGTTATAGTTCGCTTTCGGGCTACAGGCCACGGAGTTTTTTTTTTGGGACATTCATAGTTACTAGTGAAAATCGTGTCACTCCCCTAGTGTTATTGGATGATCAAGTCAAGATGCATCAGGTAGGCAGGTCGTGTAGCATGCGTGGGGTAGAAAATAAATATATAAAATGGGCCAAAATGAAAGAAATGGACCTCTTGGAAGACCCTGGAATATACAGAAGGATAATAAAGAAATATGATTGGAGGTTATGGACTGAATTAATTTGTTTGAAGTGACAGGCTCCTGTGAACATGGTAATGAAATTTTGCATACAATATGATGTCTTGACTAGATGAGCGTCTGTTAGCTAGTTGAGAAGGACTTTGCTCTATGGAGTTATTTATTTACTAATATCAGTGGGTTTTTTTATTGCCCCAGATGATAGGTGAGGGTGATTGTGGAGCAATTGGTGGAATGAAGATTGACAGGGGAAACTTAAGTACTCGGAGAAAACCTACCCCAGCGCCACTTTCTCCACCACAAATCCCATTTGACCAGACCCGGGATCTAACCTGGGCCGCCACGGTGGTAAGCCAGCGACTAACCGCTTGAGCTATGGCGCAGCCATTTATGTCAGTGGGTTGATCAGTAAGTAAGTTAGCCAGAACCAATTCCTGGATCTTTGCATCATATGGAAGTGAGCAGTGCTGCCAAAGTTACAGAAGTACACGCTGCCACATTCTTCAGGGTCGATCCTAAGATGGAGGCAACATGTACCTCTGGAACATCGGTGACTGCCACATTCACACTGCAAATAGCCAAGAGCCTGGTGAACATCAACACCGAACCACTGTGAGAACCTAAAATTATTAGTTTGTTTGTTTGTCAGTCAGTCAGTGAATTACTTTTGTCTATGAATAAATAAGTTAGTTGTTCAGTGTGTTAGATTTGTCTTTATTAGACTGGATATTCCATTACTAAATTAGTAATTACATAAGTTAGCTAATTAGTCCACAATGCAGTCAGTCAGTTGATTGGTTAGTTTGTTAGCCAGCTAGATAGGTATTTTGTCAGCCAGTTGTCCCAACACAGCAGCCTGGGTTCTATCCTAGGTCGGGTCATGTGGGATTTGTGGAGGGACAAAGTTGCAGGTTTTCTCCAAGTACTATGGTTCCACCCAGCCAATTCTCATTCCACAAAATGCTTCATATGCACCTATCATCTGTGGCTGATGCAGTAGGTCAATTAGTGGCCAACATACTGAGTGGACTCAGTCTCACACCACTCCAAGTAATTAAAAAAAAAGAAGTTAATTAGTGCAATAATTAACATTACAGGGACTGAAACAAATTCAGCCAAGTTGCTGACAACCGAGCACTTCGAGCCACACCCGCTGTACAATTCAGCGACACAAAGGAATGACATTGCTGTGGTGCGGGTGTCACAAGACATTGTGTTCAGCCTGGAGGTGGGACCTGCCTGTCTTCCCTTTCGCTTTCCAACAACAGCTGTGGGAACCCAAGTAGATGTTTTGGGCAAGTCAACTTCTTCAGCTTCAACATTCAAAATTGCTTCAAAATGAACCATATTTTGTTTTAATTTTACCAATGTGTGTTAAACCAAGTCATGGAACTTAACAAAGATTCATTGGACCCCAGAAGTGCCAACTGCTACAGTGCCACAGAACCAATGTCTTCATACACTCTGTCGAAAACATCTCTTAGCGTACATAATAACTTGGGTAGGCAACCTTACCTAAAGAAAGGCCCATGTGTTCAATGGGATCTTTGGTATAATGATTTCGGTTCCCTGTGTGTGTTAAAAATATAATGTTGTAACTTTCTGAATTATTGCTTAACAACAGCTCTCAATGTTTGATGATGATGTATCCTCAGAGATGTTTAGGCACTGTTTAGTCACTGTAGTCAGAATATCAAGTCTCACGCTCGATAATGCTCACTTTGTGAATGCAGTGGGGGAGAAATTGTAAAAAAGACACTATTTGAATCTATATGGAAATACATTTTGAACTGTTATCTGCAGATGGAAGAAAAGTAGACATAATTTCAACAAAAGAAGGGTTATAACAAACACTTGATTTCTGTTCATTAGGATGGGGCACAATAGAGCAGGGTGGACCAAAATCAGATAAGCTGTTGGAAGCTGAGCTGTATGTTGTAAATACTTCTGCATGTCAGCAAGCATTTGGCAGCAAAGTGTCCACAACTGACAATCTCTGCACCTCTGGAGCTGGTACCGACGCCTGCCAGGTATCTTTACAGCTAAATATGACTCCACTCACCCATACACCATCATGATGCAGCGTAATTAAGCCTTGTGCTTAATTAGGTGAAGGTACAACTTTATGTTCAAGCTAAAAGTAAATTTTTCCCTGTGTGGCATTCTTTGAGCACTATGCATGAAGATGTATGGGAGAGTACATATATAGGTCTGTGTGTTCATATTTTTATCACCAGATGGAGAGAAGTGGCCACCTTCACTCCTAGAGCTAGTTGGATCATGTGGAAAGAAGATAAAAAAAATCACTTGCCCCAGTCAGGAATCAAACAAATTCCTTGGCTGTCCAGCATCCAGCCTATAGCTGGTCATTATACTAACAGAGCTACCAACTTTACATTTACATCACAGGAACAATTCAGATCTTCTGTTTTCCTTTTCAAAGCTTCAATGTCTCTTTTTTGGAGGGGGGGTACTTCTTTCTTTGTCATTGTCTTAGACTATATAGCAGTGAATGAGAGGATGGCCAGTGAATGATAACTTGATGAATCATAAAAGATTTGTAATTGGCCAGGACCTAAGGAAGGTAGTATCCTTGCATTATATTGGGGGGACTGAATAAAATGATGGAAAACCTGTGTGAGGACAGCTGGTGTACCAACTGAGATTCAAATCTTGCACCTCTTGAATACGAGTCTAGAGTTTTGCCACTACTCTGACCTTCTGTATACAGGGATATCTTAGTCAATACAATCACTACGCCATAGGTGTAGTGACTGGGGTTCAAGTCTCAGAGGAGGCAGAGAATTTTCTTTTTACCACTATGTCCACATCAGCTTTGAGGCCCACCCAGCCCTCTGTTCAGTGGATACCAAGAGCCCTTTCCCTACACTAGAACAGCTGATATGTGAAATTAACAGTGCATCTTAATCTAACACCAAGGTTAAGAATGCATCACTGGTCCAATGACTGAGGTTAATTCTTAATGGATGTAAAACAAAATAAGTGTCCCCCACACTTCCAGTTTCTGGAATGTTGTGTTCTCTATACAGTCTATGATGTCCAAGAACTCAGTATTCCTGAGGATTATGGTGGTTGGTTATTAATATGTACATTTGTGTGCAGGCCGACTCTGGGGGCCCAGTGTTGTGGCTGGGACCGAGTGACAGACTACAGCTCGTGGGCATTATCAGCTATGGTAGGGGGTGCGCTTCAGAGTACCCTGCAGTTAACACACTCGTCTATTCATATATAAACTGGATACTCTCTGTCACTCCTGGTAAGCATTCTAATTTCTTTCTTATCCAGCAGTCCAAGTAAGTTTTTGCATGCAATGGTAAGATAATATTATTGGAACATATACTTGCTGTCCCCCTTGATAACACTGTGGGGACTTTGTGCTTGATGCTAGTCCTTTATGATAAGTACTGCCAGTAACATTATGTTAAACACCAGTCACTCCAAGTTTGTACCATGGGGACTTTGTGCTTGGTGCTAGCTCCTTTTGTTAAGTACTTTGGAGTCATTTTGCTTCATGCTCATGTACTTCAGAAGGAAACAAATTAAATGACAAAGGAACAAATTTATTTTCATGGCCCTCTTACAAAATGTCTAATGTGTGATACAGATTACTAAGAAATATAACATATTTGAGTTAATCTTAACCTCTAGATAATAAACAGAAGTGACAACAGAAACTGAACAAACAATTATTTCATCAGCCTCTTTCACAAAATTATGACTGTTGTGAAGTTCATAATGCCAGTCACAGTGTGCATATCATACATAATCGCAAGACACATATCTTCTAAATCGTAAGAGACTGAATACATATGGCACAGAAGCTCTTAATTTTATCTTTATAATTTGCCATTTAAATTCATGGGGTACTTTGCTAGTTCCAGCCTGTTTCAGCATTATACAGTAGCATAAATGTTGGTTCTGACTGCTACAATCTGTACTTAATGCACTTTGCCTCTGTATATTTTCAGATGTCCAGTACTGTGTGCGGTGAGAAGTCACCTAAACTCTGTAACTGTGGAAAATAAATTGTTTACATATATAGTGAGTAGTATTTTTATTGATAAAATAATCCTGTCCTTGCAGAGATCTGTGTGAAGTATGGAGATATTTGATGCAAATCATAATCTCTGTAATATAATCAGCAAGAAATGGGAAGAACTATATGCTTTTGTTTCTTCAGGTTCTATGAAATAGATCCTCTGATCTGGAGAATTTTTATAGTAATGCTTCCTACCATTCAGTCCAGAAACTTTTGTCTTCATATCTGCTGTTCAAAAACATAAAAATTAGAATATACAAAACTGTAACTTTGCCTGTGGTTCTGTATGGGTGTGAAACTTGGTCTCTCACATTAAGGGAGGAACATAGACTGAGGGTCTTTGAGAACAGGGTGTTGAGGAGAATATTTGAACTGAAGAGAGATGAAGTGACAGGAGGTTGGAGAAAACTGCACAATGGGGAGCTTCATAACTTGTACTCTTCTCCAAGTATAATTAGAATGATCAAGTCATGGAGGATGAGGTGGCAGGGCATGTAGCATGAATGGGGGAGAAGAGAAATGCATATAGGAGATTGGGGGGAAAGGCAGAAGGAAAGAGACCACTGGGAAGACCAAGGCGTAGGTGGGTGGACAATATTAAAATGGATCTTAGAGATATAGGATGGGATGGTATGGATTGGATTGATCTGGCTCAGGATAGGGACCAGTGAAGGGCTCTTGTGAACACGGTAATGAACCTTCAGGTTCTATAAAATGCTAAGAAATTCTTGAGTACCTGAAGATTTGGCTTCTCCTCAAGAGGGGCTCAGCTCCATGAGTAAGAAGGGGAATTATAAATACCTGCGTAACGTTGGCTTTCCTTGGCATAATATTGGTGTTACGTTGTGCGTTGATTGATTCACTATTTCATAAGCTGCCTTGGTGGTGGGGAATACACGTTTCTCTCTCTTGGCAGCCTATTTGCCCCAAGAGTAGCCATAAGTTCAAATAAATATAAAAAAAAATGGAAAAATGAAAACAAATGCGGTTTATGTGAGATGCTCGATTCATGTTCTGTGGTATTGTACTGTTGTGTTGGCTGCACTTGTTCACTATCGCTATAAAGTTATTGGCGCGTAAAGTGTCACCGTGAAAACACATCATGGAGCTGCATACACTTCTCTGCATTAGGTATATGCGTATTTAAGAGAACAGCGTATATAGTGAACCTAAAGAAGAACTACAAGTTGTTGACGGTATTGTCCTAATCATGTTTTATAACTATCTGTGAAATATACATGGTACTGTGAACAGTCTGTGTTTTAGTGGGTGCAAGAAGCGTGAACGGATTTGATTACGTACCTTTCCTTCGATCCTCAATGCAGTCTTTTTTTTTCTCGTGATATGTCTGGCCTGCATACGTAAGTACGAACTATATATCATCGTGTTTATTGTGTATGTAAATAAATTATTCCTTCGAGCCCGAATGAAATTACGTTTTCTCACGTAACTTTTTAGGCCAGCATGCATTAAGTACGAATTATATACAGTCACGTTCAGCAGTATGGTGTAGAGTAAATATTTTCGTTGAAAAGAAATATACTACTTAATGTTTCTTTAAAAAAAAAAGTTATTAGTTTTGCGTCAGTTATTAGTACCTAGAGACTGTTTTGCAAAGAGCAAACCATGCTGCTATACCTCTTATCATCATACAGTTCAGGTATTAAAGTTGTTTTTGTTATTATTTGTAATTTGCCTCTGAGCTGTTAAGTTTGCACTTCGTAAAAAAGAATAGATTTATTATTATTTATTTGTTATTTAGTTTTTAGTAGTAATTTTTGTATTTTCTCTTCTTCCTTGCCTTTGTCTTTTCACAATTTCTGCATTAATGTATTTTTATTTCTTCAGTGCTTGCCTGCAATTGACTTTTAGCTACTGCAAAATACTGTAATAAATCACTTGAATAGAACTGAATTATTATTCCATGATAGTTGCATGTTCTTTTAATTGTGTAACAATAATAGAATATCCATTATAGAAATTACAGACTTGTAAATTTGGCAGGATGATTGAGAATAGTGTTAGTTTTTGTGGGGATGTGGATGTAAGGACTTGTGTTATTAATTTTGAGTTTTACTAGTTTACACATTTGATTGACAAAGTTCATAATTGAAAAGAAATCAAACCAACACATTTTTTACTGGTAATTTTGTTATTTATATAGAGAACTCTTCAGTAAACTTGAAATTACTGGGTTTTTGGCCTTTGGCCATCATCTGTTTTCTAAAGAACACTGATCAATGGCAAAGCCCAAAAACTTAGTTGTACACTATTGTTAGAGCCCTTTAGGAGCTGCTTGTTCAGTAAACCTTATAAATTATTATTGTGAATTTTGTATCTAAAGTAAAGTTATCCCTGTAACAGGCCATGGAAGTCCATAGGGTTTTGAGATGTTGAGGTTCCCACATTTTCTAGACATTCGGCTTACAGATGGCGGTAAGGTTGTCAACCTTACATGTCGGCTGCCCTTTACCCCCTGAAATATTCCTGGTATTCATTTCTGTTAGAGGCTGAGTTGACCCCAGGGCCATAGTGCGGCTGGAAGGATTAGGTCAATTGAAAAAATCCACCTTATCATGATTCAATCCCTCTGCTTGTAGCATAGTTCCTCAACCAACTACATTACTGCATACAGGAAAGAGACTAAGGAGATAAGATATTATTTAGTACAGCAGACACAAGAGAGACATCCCAATTAATTCGTATCAGAGCAGAATTTATACAGAATAAAAGCAGTATCAGCAAATTGTACTGCTGTTGATTTGAATGCTGTATGGTGTTTTACATAATTAAATGGCCAATACATATTATCTTCATGCACATATATCTATATACATAATTTAATAATTTTCTCGAAAACTTGCAGTCTGTAATACACACAGTCTCCATAATGAAGTTTCTTACACTACAAACAAGAAATTGAAACTATAAAGAAAATACGTAATAAAAACCGATAAATGTGTGGCAGCAAAAATAATGAAAGCTTTTTTGAAACAGATAAATGTGAACTAAAAGAACTGAATTGTTATTCTGAGATTTAAAAATTATTTAGGGTGCCATGTTCGACTACATCAGGAAGAATATGAAAATTTAATCCGAACACTGAAATTTCTTGTATGAGGGTGGTTCAGGGTTGACATGGACTTTACTTTTTTCAAAAAAAAATAGCATCAGAACAACAAAACTTTCTTTGTGGCAAATGTTGTAAACACTGTTCTCACTTTTTGACACTTGAATGTCCCCCACACATCTGTGCATTAGATGCAACACAAGATGTCTGATCTTGTCACTCTAAGTGTAGATAGAAGATCACTGTCAGTATATCTCTGCTAGAAAGAAAATGACACAAAGTTAAATTCTGCAAAGTGCACAGTATGGATGAGAGGCCCTGAATAAGTTCCTGACAACAATATTCATGTTCAGCAGTCAGTTGTCACAAATGCAAACATTTCTCATGTAGAAGAGGTGAATTACAGTGTATGATATGGTGTCCAAAATGTGCACTATGCTTTTTTTATGAAAGTGATTTACAAGAAAAGGCATGGGAAACTGTGACAGATCAACATATTGCATGATAATGCACACATATTTGACTATGATGACACTGTAAATTGTAGGCACATAAATAAAAAAACCACCCTAATTACAGTTTAAATTGCTTGCATATAAACTTAGTGGGGGCATGCGTAGTTGGTTGAGGCACTATGCTACAAGCCGGAAGGTCACAATTGAATCCCGATGAGGTAGATTTTTTCAATTTACCTAATCCTTCCAGCTGCACTATTACCCTGGAGTCAACTCAGCCTCTAACAGAAATGAGTACCAGGAATCTTCCTGGGGGTAAAGGTACAGCTGGCACATAAGGCTGAGAACCTCACCGCCATCTGTGAGCCGATTGTCTAGAAAATGTGGGAGCCTCGACCTCTCACAACCCTATGGGCCTCCACGGCCTGTTACAGGAATAACTTTACTTACTTTTACTTTGCATATAAACTTAGTAGATTCATGAAATGATTTTTTTTAAATGTTTTAATCCTTGTAACATGTTTACAAAATGTTTCATACTTATTGGATGTATTTTCTTGCTTCATTTATTTAATCACAGAACTGGCTGAATCTCCACTGTCTTACTAGCATATAGATATCTGTAGGCAATTTTGAGCCCAAAATAATTGTTATACAGGTATTCAAACAGATTTTCTAAAGGAAGGTCGCGGGTTCAAGTCCCGATGAGGTCATTGGATTTTTTCAATTGACCTAATCCTTCTGGCCACACTAGGCCCTGGGGTTGGCTCAGCCTCTAACAGAAATGAGTACCAGGAATTAAATAATTTTCCAGGGGAGTAAAGCGCGGCCGGCGCATAAGGCTGACAACCTTACCGCCATCTATGGGCCGATTGTCTAGATAATGTGGGACCCTTAACGTCTCACAACCCTATGGGCCTTCACGGACTGTTACAGGGATAATTTTACTTTACTTTTTACTTTACTGAAAACATTTAATACAGTGTGTTTTTCATCTAGCTTATAATAGGAAAACAAAAATAGTCTAGTGGACACCCTGACAAGACACACTTTTAGAACTTGTAGCTAAAGAATATGGACAGTGTTACATTGTCACTAAAATCCAGATTGGCCTAAATAAGATGGAATCACTTATGACTTATATTACTGAATATCATAACTTTTATTGTTATTATAGGTGCTGAAATTTAATATTTTGAGGGTTGTGATAGACAATAACACAAAATCAATACTTAATTACATCGTTTATTAACTTTATTGAATTTGAAGCATTTGGAAATTTCTCCATAAGTTCATTTTTTCTGTATCTGTGTGATTTTCTTTTAAATGACACTGTTACTACTGACTAGGCTGTGTGCTAGATGACCGAGGTGTTGGGTTTCGATTCCCGGCAGGGGTAAGAGATTTATCTCTTCTCCGCAGCCCATTTAAATATGCTGTCAGTAGCCGAGACTTACGTAACACCGAATGACAGGATAATTAGTGATGCTAATTGGAAAGCACGTGGAAGGAAGCATTTGTGGGCTAATTTGAGGTACTACGACCAAGTTTGCGTGGAAGATTCGAGGAAACTCACGAAAATTCTCAGGAGAGTTGATGTTCAGACTTAGATTCGAACCGCGAACTTTTGGAAATCAGGGCACTTCTTTAGAATCAGATGTGTTGCCAGGTCCCTTTGCTTTATTAAGCACCGCGTCATGAAAGCGTGTAGGGAAGTGGAGAGGTAACTCAATAAATTCTTAATCTTCGATACCAGTTATATGTGAGTAGTCAGTTTCAGGTCCGGGCCGCCTTAACCCCTGGGTAAGAGCCCACGTCACTTACTGTATAGGAGGCTACTTGGGTGCCAGATTCGGTCTGGTTATCATGGTAAAGATAGAGATCTGTTGCCCCCTCCGGGAACAGACCCCGTTCACCGGTTATCCAGCCCCTAGCCAGGATACCATACTCACTAAGATAAAACAATAAATAACTGAACCTATCACATTCTCGAGCATTTTGGGTTGTGTGTTCGGTGTTGTTTGAAACTTTAAACTTCATAATTTATTATGTTATACTAGAGACTCCGCTTCTAATACTCACTATATTGAGAAAATACTGCTTCACGTTTCAAGAAACGTTTCTAAGTAATCGTCAGTCATGAAAATCATAGCTGATGTCAGGAAAACTATTGTTGGCAGATCCATCTACCGGCAGAATTAGTACTACTTGAAACCAGTGCTCTGTCGATACACTGTTACCACAGTCTTCACTCGCCGTCACTGTGTTTGTATGTACAGACAAAAGCCATATAAATCACTTCCCATACACTTCAACGATAGGAAATGATGTGTCTGAAGTCACTCTTGCAACTGCAGTTGCTATATAAATTAATAAACTGATACAGCCTTTATATTTAACACCGACGTTTTACGCCTATTTAAGTCTTAAATGCTCTTTCCCCCGTGCAGATTTCTCTCACTTAATCCCGTCTTGTATTGCCAGCGTATCTCAAACTGTGATCCTGTAACTTTGTTGCGATGCGGTCACCATATCCACGTGCTGAGATGAAGTCACGGTGCTCTCACGTGCTTTCTGATCCACGTGAAGTAGTTGGACACGTGTAGAGGCCTGGGAGTTATCGTTGGACTTGACCATATCCATATGTTGAGATGACGTCACGGTGCCTGTGCGTTCGTTCTGATCCACGTGGAGTGGGTGGACACGTGTAGATACCTGGGAGTTAAAGTTGGACTTGACCAGGTCCGTGTGTTGAGATGACGTCACGGTGCCTGCACGTGTGTTCTGATCCACGTGGAGTAGTTGGACACACGTGTATAGAGACCTGGCAGTTTTGGCCGCGCGCAACCGATGCCAGTGGATATAACACCCACCAGAGTGATTAGACCGTCGTCTCTCACCATGAGGGGACCGCCGCTATCCGCCTGCAACAACAAAGCAAGGACTGATTTCGGCACCCATTATATGACATAACATTGTTGCTGGACATACTTAATCTGTAGGGAACATACCAGATCCTTGACTCAATTGTAGGACTGTATAGCAGGAACTCCCCGAACTTAATCAGATCTTAAATTCAAGAGCGTTATCGTCTGACGTTTCGGAGGAGCGTATGGCCCCTCCAGGGTCCGAGTAAGTTGAACACGCAAACAGCAAGTGGCCTGTTGCAGAGGTGAATTTCCACCAGACTACAGGAGTCACTTTCCAGAGGAAGGGGGGTACGCGGTAGCATAGGTGGTCGAGGCACTATGCTACAAGCCGGAAGGTCGCAGTTTCGATTCCCGTTGAGGTCATTGGGTTTTTCAATTGACGTAATCCTTCCAGCTGCACTATGGCCCTGGGGTCGACTTAGCCTCTTAACAGAAATGAGTATCAGGAATCTTCCTGGGGGTAAATGGCGGCCGGCTGACAACTTTACCGCTATCTGTGAGCCGTCTGTCTAGATAATGTGGGAGCCTCGACGTCTCACAACCCTATGGGCCTTCACGGCCTCCTATAAGGATAACTTTACTTTTCTTACCTTTAGTACAATTCATATTCAGTGTCTCGACAACCTCAAATCTAACGTAATCTTAAGTTCATCAATACAATTTTGATTTAGTACTGTGGTTCGTACGCTTTCTTTATTTCTGCAGTAATTTTGCTGTTATGGGCTATTTTATTTTAGCTCTAAGTATGATTTTGTCTTAGTGAGGAGGGAACAGGAATAGCTCTGCCGGTATGGAGGCTAGGCTACAAGGTAACAGAACAGTCGCAGTTCGATTCTTGGCAATGAAAGGAGACTTTTTTCGACTACGTCCAGCCCGAATCTTACGCCTACTCAACCTCTTATTCCACGTTTGTGTTGCGGAGGCTAAATTTGCCGAGATGCTAAGTTGGACACCCATCTCCGTTTGCTGCCGATGTTAAGAATGTGTGAACTTGCTTTTTCCACTCCTGTAAATGGTTCTATACTTTAAATTTCGCATGGTGAGAAGGTAAGGTAAGCTGAAGTTGTCCCTCTGCTTAACTAATTAAACACTACACCTTGAAGAAGTATGGGGGGGGTGGATGTATAGATCCACGTTTTCCTGACCTCGGCACCAGTTGGAGGTGAGTCTTTGCACATTGTGGATGTGGGCATGTTGCGAACGTATCGTAGCTACATTCTCCCTCCATCTTCAGGGTCTAATGAGTTGAGATATTTTCACCCTAGTTACTTTTATTCTGATGATGGAGGCAGCATGTAGGTCCGAAGTTGCAGCAATACTGCTCGTATTCACACTATGCAAAGTCTCAAAAGCTTAGTCATCATCAAGAAGATACATGAAATTCAGTAAATACATAGGTTAGTGCCCAGTCGGCGCCATCTTGGTACGCGTTACTCACCCAACAAGAGTCACGGCTTCCATGTTCGTAGCCCGCGCACATTTGAGAGTCTAGGATCTTTGTTTTCTTGCCCTTTGACTTGTACCAACTTCTACACGTATCGTTGTCGACGACAAGAAGTGTGACTTTCTGAAGGACGTTTGCCCTTCCTCCGTGCGCAGAGTTCTCGTGAAGCCATCCCCATCCGGCTGCAGTGGCTTCACGTCCCGAGAAACTAGTTTCACCTGCTGCAAAGTGTCAGAAGTTGAAAAGTGGATCTAATATCTTACGGGATATGACGCCGTGTAATTTCTTTTACCGACGTTTCGGAGAAACTATCTTTCGGGACCGAAGAATAAGTTGAATAAGCAAACAGTAAGGAAAATACTCTGCAGACTCCTCTAGCCCGAAACAATAGTTTCCTTCGAAACATCGGCAGATTTAAACCAGACCTGCCATGAAAACTCAAAATCTCACATAGTTAATGACTGAATTGGTACTGAGTTCCTTAAGACTGAGGATAACTTGAAGGTTCTTGCTGTCCGTAATGAAGAGCCAAAAAAAGGGGGGACGAACCCTGAGGAAGGCAGATAGGCCACGCGGATTCCGACCATCCGACCTCGTCATCCAATTCCAGCAACGCGATGTCATGGTTGAAGCGTTCACACTGGTACCCAGGGTACAACACCAGTCGGCGCACCCGAATTTCTTGTGACGGCGGAGTCTCCCTCTTGGACAGGTCATGTTCCCCTACTGTCACGCGGATGTGTTCCACTGGCAACTCCACGGGCCCGCTGAAACCATTCACTGCAATGAGTTTCCCAACGGAAGTATGATTTGAGGTTTACACGGCGGTGACTATGAAGAATGCCGTCTTCTGGAATGTGGCGCCGTGTAGATATTTTGTTAAGCGACGTTTCGGAGGAACTTATCGTCTCCATCTTTAGGGTATAAGAAATCCGCGAGGGATGAACCGGCGTGAGCAGGTGTCTGTGTTTTCAGATCAACTAACGTTATGAAAGCAAACGCATTCTGACTTTCCACCGAACAGTATTCAGACCGAGAGGTATGAAGATTTCTGTCTTCTGAAATGTGACACCGCTCCTTTTGGTAGATGTACAACGTGTTGTCTTCATCTAGGGGTCGAAGTGACTTCGACTTGAAGATGGAGGCAACACGTTCTTCGAAACTGTGTTACCACCGTATTCCGACGTATACCAGAAAATTGAAGTGCACGTATTTCCACATCCAAGAAAAGTGTCATCTAGATATTTATTTACTATTCAATAAATAATTGAAAGTATGATTTGGCGATCTGTTATAATTACCTGCACATGCAGTGCGCTGCAGTTACCACCCATTTCTTGTTCACCAGAGCACCCCCGCAGAAGTGACCTCCCCTCCGAGTGATAGACACCAACCACGGGAATTCCCCTGGATTCGCAGACTCTCCACCAACAATACGCGCCTCGCGACGCCACTGTCGCCCACACGGCACATCCGCCACTGAAGTCATATTAGTAAATTCTATAAATTGTTATTTCCGCCGTGAAGAATTTTTCATAGGTTATTTAACGACATTTTCTGCAACATCAGATGGTAGATGAATTGGAAAGGATTTGGAAGGAAGAAACTATGGCCTAATCGAGGTACTGTCATAGTAATTATCAGTAGAGATCGAGGAAAACCACGAGAAAACTAAGTAAGGATAGTCAGTGTTTCGGCCGAGATTTGAACTGAATACCTCCCGAATACAAGTCGACAGCATTACCATTAGACCAGCACGTTCGGTTTTATGTACGTTTTCTGCGAGGTCCGTGCCGAGATGTTATAAGCAGGACTAGTTGGTAGTTATAGTACGAGAACTGAGGGACTCAACAGATACTGTTGTTAGGTGATGTGGATCACACTTGACAATCTGACATTCTGGTGGACTACAATGTCCAGTGCGTCACCATTTTCCGCAAGAGAGTAATGAGTGGTGCGTTGTGGCGCTGAAAATTCGAATTCATTTATATCAAATCCAAACGTTTTTCACCTGAAGGGTTTGAAATTGCACTATTCCAAAATGGATGCTTAGCATTGAGATCACCTGCAATATGGAGTTACGCCTAAAGCTTAAGCGCTCCATGATGTCCGCGTCAATCCAGGCACAACCAGCAGATTTCAAGTCAAAGTTACGGCCGTAGGTCCGGGTGATTTATTTCTTCTCCGCGATATTTAATCCATAAGTTCGTACCTCACAGGAAACATGCTGCGTCTTCTTTATAAAGACTGATTGGTTAATGCTTTTTTTTTAATTAATAGCTGCTTATTGTGAGAATCGTACGAAATGAAAGTCCACTTTATGGGCAATATACAGACATTTTAATGTTAAATTGGATGATACATATAGCGACCAATTGGCTTGAAATGCTCTGCTAGGACAGCTACATTTATACGACGACACTAATTATAAACAAATTAAACTTATATCTATAAAGCTCAAGTTATTGAGGTTATTGTTTTCAGTAATTTATGCTACTTTATAATATATGCGTGTTCCTAATTCGATAACCGTGTGTAGTGTGTAAATAAATGTTGGTGCATTATGTAACTCACAGTTCTCACCGCTCGTGGCGCAGCGGGCTGCTAGGATGGCCAGGGCGTAAAGGTACAGCTGCAGTAGGAACTCCATATCGCACTGCCCCGCCGGTTTGAGACCGGAGTTTATAATAGGAGCAGGTGAGTGAGGTCACACCCCCCACCCAGTGTCATTAGGTCGGCTCACGGCGACTTCACAGGTACGGGATGAGATGTACAAGGCTAATTGACGTCCATTTTCTTTGCGAAAATAAAATGGCGGCAAAACAACGAGACGGTACTTCCCCAGATTGTTAGCATTCTTAGCACAAATTATGTATAATGAATTTATCATAGAAAGTTATGTCTGCCCCCATTTTTCAAGAATTAAAAGAATTTACGTGTTACTATTTTAATTTAAGAAATGAAGAGTAAAGTACTCTGCTTCGGAGGAACATATTCCTTCAATCTTCAGGATATCTGAAGCCTTCTTATCTTCTCTTTGCTTGTTCGGCTTACTTTTGCAAAATTTTATTCTTTGCTATTAGTGAATTTTCGAAATTGGAACCGAGAATTTTGTTTTTTTGTAAAACCAGATAAGATAGTCAAGATAGTGCCGAGGTCAAGAATGGTGGAGCTATATCTCCACTCCCCCATACGCCTTGGTGCAATGGTTGATTGCTTAAGCACAGGGAAAAATCTGCCTTTATCGACTGACACGGACAACAAGTATTGTTAATTCTAGCGCTTTTTGATGATTACCAATAATATGAATATTTCCGTCGTCTTCAGTTCTTAAGCGTAATTGATGGGTGTTTTGAAACTATCTTCCTAATGGACGCAACTGAGTAAGAACCGTACACCTCTTACATCTGATATCAGAAACAGATCCAGTTGGCGAAATTTTATGTTCGAAAAACTTGATACGATGGAGAGTGTCCGGGAATGGCAGCCATGTTTATGAAATACAGAGTGTCCCAAAAAGTCAGTTAACCTAAAACATTTCTCGTATTAAGAGCAATATTCAAATTTAAACTTGCCAGTCAATTTGTAGAACGGTATCACAGCTTTGTGAGTTGTGCATTAAACATGGAGGATCTCATTTCGGACAATTTTTATAAATTCAGTAAGTAATAAAATAATATCTAACATATTTTAGTGTACATTTTACTAATCAGATAACTGAATTTTAATCCATTTTGTATTATCTAAATTACTTCTCTTGAGACTCAAACAGCCAAGCATGATGTCTGTATACTGTGCTCACTTTATATACTTGGTGGCATCTAACGCATAGGAATGTTTATTCAAATTTAAGCGGAAGATATATAGTGTGTCCGGATAAAAGGTATCCAAAATAAAAAAATATATATATCTCGGAAACTAAGTGTCATACACGTATCCGGTTTATGCCATTGGAAAGGAAAATCCTGTGCCCGGCTTACGCGCATGCGCCGCCACATTTCTGCCACCATGTTAGGAATCACCTGGACAGAGAGATGGCTGGGAGATGAATTGGCAGAGGTAGTGCAATCGCTTGACCTCCTAGGTCGCCAGATTTAACCCCACTGGATTTTTTCTTGTGGGGTTATGTGAAGAACATTGTCTACCGGGTTAAGATCAGTGACCTGCAACACCTGAAAGCCCACATAAGGGACGCTGTGGCAATGGTAACACCAAACATGGTGGATCGTCTGGATATTTGTCGTCCCACCAAAGGAGCGCGCGTTGAAATTTATTGAGAGAGTTAGAGTTATATACTCAGAAAAAAAAAACTTTGATAGTTCCCTTTGTAGTGGTGTAAATGTGTATAATAAATTCTTCCTGAGATATAATTATTTTGGGTACCTTTCATCCGAACACCCTGTATTTTCCTAAATTGTGGCGTCGTTACCTGAACCCATCAAGAAATTTATAGCAGCAGAAACAGACATGGCAGAAAGACAACTGACTGAAAGACTGGTGTCATTCTTGTCTTAATTTGAATATTTTACCAATTAGTACGGAATAATATGTTCTGACCTTTGATGATTCGGAAAACCCTGCCTTCGGATGAGATGTGACCTCAAATGAGGGCCATATTCAATTATGTATGACCTTTTCGAGCTGAGGGTCATCCTTTCTTCTGCCTTTCCGTGGCTATTCCCGCATGTCTGAATAATCCGCAACATGGCAACAGATTGTCCTCTACATCTCGTAGATTAAACACTTCCTTGTGTTAAATACAGATCCTTGCTACATATGTTGGTAAGCTGGCCTCATGAGGATCGCTGAAACAGAATGAGGGCATATAAAAAGCACCAAATAATTCCACTCTAACCTTCGGAGACCAAAGCTTAGATTGGAGAGTAATATTATCATGAACCTTAAAGATATTGTCACGTATATAAGTAACCATAGACGAAGTATCGATTGGTAATTGGATTTATTGACTAATCATAACGCTGTCGCTAATTATTGGCTCATCTCAATACAGCGTATACTAAGTCTTCTCAATTTTTGCTAGCCGTTTCCTGGTAACGGATCCTAACAATGTCTTCTGCTTACGTCCTTACTGGCTGACGACCATCTCACAGCAACCTCCAACTCCTCTGATTTACTGAACTCAACTAAATGTGCCACGTAGAAAACACCGCTCAGTGTTGTAGTTAAATTGTTGCTTGTTATGAGTCTGTTGCCTAGCAACGGGCGTTGTTTGCCGAGTCATTACTTAGCAACGGGTCTACGTGCTACAATATAGTGTGGAAGGGCGCAGACTGAACTGGGTCAGTATAGAGTTCTATAAGAGAGTACTCTGAACACTGCAGTGAACACAGAGGCTCCTAAAAGCTAGGAATTTGTTGTTTGTTTAACCGGCCATGGATTTCCGAAGAAGGATTCAGTGATCAAGTCGGTTGAAGCGGTGGCGCTTCGGACTTTTATTTGGAAGTGCCCGATTCGAATCTTGGTCGAGGCACCGACTATTCTCTTATTTTGTTGTGATCGTTTTCAGTCCCTCCATGAAGACTCCGGAGTAGTGCTTCAAATTTACCCACCACGACCACTTCCTTCCTCATCTGCTCCAACTAATGCTTCTCCAGTTATGCTCCTATTAGGTGGCATAAGGTTGATTCATAATCTCTCGTGGAACCGAGCCCTTCTTGAGAAGCTGCCAATTGTGCAGCTACTCAAGAATTTCCCAGCATTTTATGGAACCCAAAGGTTCATTACCATGTTCACAAGAGCCCTCCACTGGTCCTTATCCTGAGCCAGATCAATCCAATCCATACCATCCCATCCTGTCTCTCTAAGATCCATTTTAAGATGGTCCGCCCACCTACGCCTTGGTCTTCCCAGTTCTTCTGGTTTTCCCACCAATATCCTGTATGAATTCATCTTCTATCCCATTTGTGCTACATGCCCTCCCCACCTCATCCTCCTTGTCTTGGTCATTCTCATAATCTCTAGGCCACGTAATATTTCTGTTAGATGGAAAAGTAAGGGAAAAACGTAAATAGAGAAAATTTGTTGCAAATCATGTGTTTCCGGCCTCATATATTAGATTTCTGTGCCTGGTTCGAGGCGTTGCGAAGCGACACTCTCTACATACCAGTAGTAACGCCACGAAACAGACAGGCAACTGCTTCTCACTTCACGTACTCTTCAAGGCGATGTCTTCCTCAAAAACGTCAGTTGACTTTCACCGACGTTTCGGAGGCACACGTAGCATCCGCCTTCAGGGTCGAAGAATAACTTAAGAAACCATAATGAAGCAGGTAGCAAGCAGATCTCTGTGACATGTTCCTCCGAAACGTCAGTTGACTTTTAACGAGCAACGCTACGTTATATCGCATAAAATAGAACCCGTCATAAATACCACTGTGAGAACTTCAGTTCGTAAAAATTTGGTACACAATTGGATGTGTGCATTGTTTTAGATAGCCTGCCACATAATGACGCACACGTTGCCATGGTTTCCATTGTTGCGGTCCCGAAACATTACAATTACGCATGACTTGTGTCAGCAGATCATTCACGCTTTTCCATTGAGTCGGGTCAATGCCAGTAGTTTCGAGGAAACAGTGTTGCTATGTGCCCTTGTTGCACGCGAACTTGACCTACATCACTCACCTTCAGCTGTATACAGGTGCAAGGGGCCCCCATTCACAGGAAGTGGAGTTGTTAGAGGGGTGGACACCAAAATCGTAATTGTTTAAGCTGGCACGTGTCAGTCAGTTACAGGTTAAGAATGGAGAGTGATTGCTCAGAAAAGAGTGACAGTATTTAAAATTTAAACATTCATTGAATGTGATAAGATGGAAGGACAGAATAAATTTTAATTTACACGTAAATGTCCGCATTTCCTTTGTTTTTCTTTTGGTGTATTATTTCGGTATACATCAAACATCTGGAAAGTTTCGAAATGTGGTGTTGGAGAAGGATGGAGAAGATCAGTTGGACCGATTATGTGAGAAATGAAGAAGTGTTAATTAGAGTCAGTGAGCAGAGGAATATCCTACACGAAATAAGAAAACGGAAGGCTAATTGGATTGGTCATGTTTTACGCAGAAACTGCCTTTTAAAAGAAGTTATTGAAGGAAAGATAGAGGGGCGGATAGAAGTGACCAGAAGACGTAAGAAGATGCTGGATGACCTTGGGGACAGAAGAGGATATTTTCATTTGAAGGAGAAAGCTCTAGATCGCATCAAGTGGAGGAACTGTTTTGGAAGAGACTGTGGACCTGTCGTCTGACAGATTACTGATGATGATGATATCAAAACTGTATGGTAAAGTTGTCCATGTGTTCACTAATTAAGCAGTACGCCATGAAGACGTATAGGGGAGTGGGTATATAGATCCACATTTTCTTGACCTCGGCGCTAGTTGGTGGTGAGTGGTCAGCTTCACGCCCCGGGTAAAGAGCCCCTGGTACCCATTGGATAGGAGATTGGGTTGACACCAGACGAAGTGGAGAAGAGAAAATGCTTGCCTCTACCGGCACTCAAACTCGGACCCCTCCGTCGCCCAGCCTGTAGCCAGTCGCTATACCGACTGAGCTATCCCGGCTCCCAATCCACAGCATGTGGAGGTAGAAATTTGAAATAAAGTTGCCTAATATAGGCGTCTACACATTTTTGACATTCACGGATAATAGAATATATTATA